ACCATCGTGTAAGTATTAAATTAGTAATTGGATCTGTCTGCACCCATGTTTTCACCCAATCAGATGATCAACTTAAATAGTTAACATTAAAACAAAGATATATTACACATGAACAATTGTTACTCTTCATGAAGATAAACATCAACATGGACGTGTAAAACTAGCATTTAAACCTTGGAAACAAGACCTCATAGAGTGATGATGATTATTTTACCCTTGGAAACATTGAAACCCTTGACAAACCCAAAGCCAGATTCCAAAAAGAAAAAGACAGATGCATAGATCAAACATCAAAACTACCCACACATGTTTCCTCCATATCTGCTTTGCCTTTTGTCTATGTATCAATCCGTTTCTCACTCCCTTGTTTAATCCCAAATCTATCTTCTTCTCACTCTGCAATCTCTTCTTATTCTTCACTACCCTTAATGGCTTTCCAAGAAACAACCTTTTTCTTACATTCCTCGGAGACCTAATAAAATCTAACTTTAATGCCAAATCTTTATTACCGCCAACACCAAAGATTTCAGCGAAAATTGGATCTAATTTGGATTGAAAACAGTGTTGAGTCAAATTATCCAACGAATTTCCATGTGTAAGAAGAGCTTTCGTTTCCGATTTCAATCGACTGAATAGCGAGAGAGACTCCGATTTCTCAACAACATCGTCTAAAATCGCGAAATACGAAAACAAGTCATCAATGATCAAAGGGTAAGTTCTCCTTTTAAATGTATGAGAGACCATGGAATGATGAGGAGGTACGTTTGCAATGCATTACAAAGCTAGAGTTTCGATCCCTGTCTCATCCTTTGAAGAATACTCGGCGAGAATCACACTTCCTTTTGCAACGCACGTATACAACAATTGACCTCGATTCGAAATCATTTTCTATAACAAAAAATCTAATGATATGCCTCAAAGTTTGTGAGATTTTCCAGGGAAGAAACAAAAATTGTGGAGGAGGAATTTCATTTTTGGCGAAATCGGAATGATGAAGAAAAAAAATGAAGCAGAAATTTGCTCCAAGAAGAAAAAAACAGCAGGATAACAATTTACCATAATGAATGTACCCTTCTTATAGTCGATATTTACAATAATACCCTAAATTTCATACGCATAATAATGATAACTTGACGCGTGAAAGTTAGTTTGGCCATCGTCAATGACACCAACAGACCAACATGTGTTGAGGGTAGAAAATTAGTGGTTGTGAAAAA